CCGGCGTTCGCGTCGGACAGTGAGGAGGCTGAAGAGGATGTGGTGCCAGAGGCAGAGACTCAGCCAGGGCCTTCAGAACCTCTGGAGGCTCCTTCAAGTGGAGAGAGCGAAGTGGAGGAGCCTCTCCTCAATGCTCGAGCACGCAGGGCTGCCAAAAGGCTACTCAGGAGAAGAAGGTCTCCTCGAGAGTAAGGTTTGAGGATAATTGGCCACTCCCTTAGCCTATTTAAGTCGCACGCAATTAGTAATTTCTTGCTGGAAACAACATGTAATCATTAAAGAGCATTTTTGAAGAGTGAATGTCTTATCGTATCTTGTCTTCTGGGCTGGTTGCCAACCTTTGCCGGACTTTGTTTATTCTTGGTACGTTATAACTTTGATAAGGACCGTTGGTGTGTGTCACAATCCAGAGCTGGGGCAGAACAAGTAGTTAGAATGCAGTATTGCAGGTTAACTCTGCCCACTGTCAGCAGTTCGATCCTGACGGCTCAAGGTTCACTCAGTCTTCCATCCTTCCAAGGTGGGTAAAATGAGGACCCAGGTTTTGGGAGGGGGGCAAGATGCTGACTCTGTAAACCGCTTAGAGAGAGTTGTAAAAGCACTGTGAAGCGGTATATAAGTCTAAGTGCTATTGTTGTGGAAGGAAGGGAGGTTGTAGGGCGGGAGGAGAAGAGGAGGAGGAGGAGGAGGAGGAGGAGGAGGAGGAGGAGGAGGAAAGGACTGAGGGCTGCTTTTTAACACTTGAATGTTTTCTCGCAAACGTTTCATGACCCAACTAGGTAACATCATCAGTGCTAGAAGAGAAGGCGGGATCGCTCTCTTTTATATACAAGCGGCTTGCCTTGTCGGTGTTGGTGGGAATGGACTTTGTAGTTCTTTAATTGGGTTGTTGTTTAATTATTATTAGCTTGTTTGTCTGAGATTAGTATGTCTTGATAGGGGTTATTTCGATGTTGAATTGCTCCAGGTTCAGTCCGGTCCTATAGAACCAGTAGTAAAACTGTCAGGAGGCTCCGCCCACCCGCCACGACGTCATTATGGGTGATCTGGGCATGTGCAGAAACTTCTCCCGTGCGCTCCCGTTGCAAACCGGTAGTAAAGGTAAGCAGAACCTACCTCTGGTTATTTGTCCTCTTTGCCAATGTAACGTGAGCTGCTCTCTCCACCTACTTCCACGCTTCCAGAATTTTCTCCCATGCCTCCATCCTTCCATTGCTTGGGGGAAACGAGCGATGTCATTTTGCAGATCGAAGTCCGGGTGAGCCTCATCCAGGGGTGAAATCCAAATTTTTTTACTACCGGTTCTGTGGGTGTGGCTTGGTGGGCGTGGTGTGACTTGGTGGGCGTGGCTTGGTGGGCATGTCGGGGGGGAAGGATACTGCAAAATCTCCATTCCCACCCCACTCCAGGGGAAGGATACTGCAAAATCCCCATTCCCACCCCACTCTGGGGACAGCCAGAGGTGGTATTTGCCGGTTTTCCAAACTACTCAAAATTTCCGCTACCGGTTCGCCAGAACCTATCAGAACCTGCTGGATTTCACCCCTGGCCTCATCTTACGGCTGATTGCTTCAGATCGGATCAATTTGTGGAAGAGCTGGGGGATCCAGTATTATTAGGCTTTGACGGCAACTCTCCCTGCCTCGGAAGCTCATCCACTGAGAAGCTACTGACTTCTTCCAGAAGTTGCTTGGATCCAGTGGGAAGTGGATTCCATGTTGGGGGTGGTTAGTGGGCTAGGAAGAAGATCCCGCCCCCAACCCTGGAGCAGTCTGCTTTCTTAAAACTTATTCGATGTCTTTTCATTTTGAATTTAATTAATTCTACCTTTGTTTTTACAATGTTTGTCAGCTGCTCAGTGTCACTTCAGAGTGAAATGGGCGTGTATATATTTAACAAATGAGATGTAGGTAGATAGGTAGGTAGGTAGGTAGGTAGATAGATAAATAGAGATAGATAGATAGATAGATAGATAGATAGATAGATAGATAGATAGATAGATAGAGCTAGCTAATAGAGGGAGGGAAAAAGAGATCAATAGAGAGAGGGGAGAGGGAAAGAGAAGAGGAGAGAGATCGATAGATAATAGATAGACAGATAGATGAGGAAGGGACTGAGAGATCAATAGAGTTGCCGAGAGATGCTGAGAGTGAGAGAGAGAGAGAGAAAAGGGGAGAGAAAACGATAGATGATAGATGGACAGGTAGATGACAGGCAGGCAGGCAGGCAGGCAGACAGATAGATGAGAGAGGGAGGGAGGGAGGGAGGGAGAGGCTGTGGCTCTCTCCTTCCCTCCCTGCCTCCCTCCCTGCCCCCCTGCCTCCCTCATCTCTTGATCTCACCCTCCCCCCTCCCTCATCTAACTGTCTGTCTATCAGCTATCCGTCTATCTATCGTCTAGAGAGAGATAGTGAGAGAGAGAAGGGGAGAAAGGGGGAGAGAGAGAGAGAAAGGAGAAAAAAGAGAAAGAGAGAAAGAAAGAGAGAGAGAGGGAGAAAAAAGAGAGAGAGAGAGAGAGAGAGAGAAAGACACATACAGAGACAGAAACAGTGAGAGAGAGACAGAGAGACAGAGGCAGAGAGAGAGAGAGAGACAGGCAGACAGACAGAGGGGGAGGGAGGGAGACAGAGAGAGAGAGAGCCAGACAAACAGAGACAGACAGAGAGACAGAGAGATAGAGAGAGACAGAGGGGGAGGGAGGGGAGGGGGGAGGGAGACAGACAGAAACAGAGAAACAGAGACAGAGAGAGAGAGGCAGAGACGCACACAGAGAGACAGGCAGACAGACAGAGGGAGGAGGGAGAGGGAGAGAGGGAGACAGAGACAGACAGAGACAGACAGTTAGAGGGAGGAGGGAGGGGGAGGGAGACAGAGACACAGAGAGAGACACACAGAAAGAGACAGAGACAGACAGACAGACAGAGGGGGAGGGAGACAGAGACAGAGAGAGACACACACAGAGAGAGACAGGCAGACAGACAGAGGAAGAGGGAGGGGAAGGGAGGGAGACAGAGACAGACAGAGACAGCCAGACAATCAGAGGGGGGAGAGAGGGGGAGGGAGACAGAGACAGACAGACACACAGAAAGAGACAGAGACAGACACAGAGAGGGAGACAGGCAGACAGACAGACAGAGGGAGGAGGGAGGGAGACAGAGAGAGACAGAGACAGAGGGGGGAGGGAGGCGGAGGGAGGGGGAGAAAGAGAGAGAGATGGGCCCGGAGTCCACTCCAGTAGGGCACAGTTTATGTTCTAAATTAACAGGAAAGCCACTGGGCATCGGATTGGGGGGGGGAGGGGAGTGGGGGGAGGACACAACGGAAAGCTTTCCGGTGAATCTGAGAACCGTCCGCCTAAGAAGGGAAAGAGGAGCGGAGCAGAAAAGCCGGGAGGCGGCGGCACTCCTGCAAATCAGTCCTTGAAGAGCCGCTCGCTCGCCTGTCTCGCCTCAATAGAAGTGGGGAGGGGGCTGGGGGGTCTTTACAGGGTTGATTGAAACGAGGGGCTCTCCTCGGTGCCTTTTATTTTTTTGGCAGACCTTTCACGACCCAACTAGGTCACATCATCAGTGTTAGAAGGGTGTGTGTTTGGGGGAGGGGGAGGGATCTCGATCTCTCCTTCTCAGCCGCGCCCCCTCCTCTCTCCGGCTCTTCCAGGCCAAGAGCGGCGCCGGAGCGAGGGAAGGCCGGCTGGCCAGCCACGTGTCCGGCTCATCAACAAGAGTTTGGGAAAGGCATCTCAACCAAGCCGTGAGAAGCGGCTGGAAGAGACGCGCGTGTCTCTCCGCTCATGGGTTTTTTTTTCGGTTGTTTTGTTTCCCCCTTTTCTTCCTTCATTTGCTTTGCAAAGCACGTAGAAAGAAGCAACGTGGAAATCTGGCGTCCCCGTCCCCCCACATTGATGATTGATTGATTGATTGATTTTGTTCGTTCGATTGATTGATTGATTGATTATGTTCGTTCGATTGATTGATTGATTGATTGATTGATTTTGCTCCTTCGATTATTAAACAGAGCCGGCTATCTTGCGCGGAAACGGCTCGGTACTTCTGTCCACCGACTCCTCTCGATTTCCAGGGAAGGGGGGGAGGGTCTGGAGAGGGGATGTGTGGAGAGAAGCGGCCCCGAGACCCCCTGGTGTGGGTGGGGGGAAAGGACGAAGGGAGAGGCGAGGCGGAGAAGTGGGGCACAGAGGAGAAGGGCAAGGGGGGGGGCTGCAATGGGCTTGGAGATGGGGGGCAGTGAAGGAGGCGCGCGCGGGGGGTGGGTGGGTGCGCTTCCCCCACCGACTTTCTCCCCTTCCCTTCCCTTCCCCCACCTCCACCCCCTCTCCCACCCCACCGGCTACGACGATGATGGGCGCAATTGTCGGTCAAAGACAAAGCGCTGCGCGAAGTTGAGCGCGCGCGACCCGGTCCCCAAGAAGGGCGCGTAGGATCGCTCCCGCCCGGACCCCTCCGAGCAGAGAAGGGGTAGGGGGGGAAAGGACGCTTCCTTGGGGGGGGGGGAAAGGAGGGTGTCTGCATTTACCCCCTCCCCCATAGCCTGCGGGGAAGGGAGAGGGGGTGTCTTTACTTCTGCGTAAAGATGCGGACAGGACGGCTGCCCTCCTTTTAATCTGAGCTCTGGGATCCCTGCCTGGGGTAGGTGGGGGGCATCTCCGGGGAGTGGGGGGCTACGGGGAGGTTGAACTCTCGAGCAAGCCAGTCCTCCCTCCTCGCCCCTCCTCGGGCGAGACCCCCCCCTCCACTCCAGGGGCGGGAGGCGCCTCTGGCTCCCTCCGCGTCGCCCTCCGCCCCCCTGGTCCGCTCCGATTAGTGGCAGGGCTGGGTGGGTGGGTGGGTGGGGGGTCTCCCCGGCTTGCTCTCTCCCGCCCTTCTCCCTCCAGGCATTGGCCAAGGCGGCCTGTCAATCAGGCGCCCGCCTCCCCCAGCGCCCGCGCAAGGGGGGTGTCGGGGGGGGGGACGACTCGGTGCCACCATCCCGCCCCAAGCCGCGGAGAGAGAAGGACCGGTGCCCAGGCGAAGAAGGTGGGAAAAAAAAAGAAAGCCAAGCGCAGCGCTTGCGGGATGCTGAGCGAGGAGGCCATGCAGGCGGCGGTGGAGGAAGGCTCCGGCGGGGGGGCTAAGCTCTACAAGACCCCCCCGCAGCAGCAGCACCACCAACAAGCCCCGCAGCAGCGCAGCCCCTACAGCGCGCTCAAGACCTTCCCCGGGGGGCGTCGGCCGGCGCTGAGCAAGCGCTACGAGCGGCCCACCATGGTGGAGATCCCGCAGGTGCGGGGGGCCGTGGGGCACTTCCAACCCCAGCCCCTGCCCGCCGTCGCCTCCTCTTCCTCGGCGCTGGGGGAGCCTCCCCCCCTGCCCTACCCTGCCCCCTTCCGCGCTTCCCACGGACCCCAGGCGCGCAGTTCGGCCCCGCCACTGGGAACCCAGGCAGCAGCAGCCGCCGCCTCCTCTTCCTCCTCTTCCTCTTCTTCCTCCTCCTCCTCCTCTTCCTCGTCGGCCAGGTACGGCCAACATCACCATCACCACCACCACCATCACCACCAGGGGGCGCCAAGCAGCAGCACCGGCGAAGGGGCGCTGGAGCTGAGCGCAGGTAGGGGACGGCGTCGGGCTGGGGCAGGGGAAGGGGGGCAAAGGCCGGAGACCCTCGCTCTCGGGGAGCCTAGAGGCGAAGGGCTCCTTGAGCAACAGGGATTGATTGATTGATTGATTGATTGATTGATTGATTGATTGATTGATCGAGTGATTGATTGAAATTGTTTAGGGTCTCCTGCTTGAACGGGTGGGGTGGACTAGAAGACCTCCAAGGTCCCTTCCAGCTGTGTTCTGATTGATTGAGTGGTTCTTTATTTGATTGATTGATTGATTGAGTGGTTCTTTTATTGATTGATTGATTCATTGATTGATTGATTGATTCATTGATTGATTGAAATGGTTTAGGGTCTTCTGCTTGATGGGGGGTGGACTAGAAGACCTCCAAGCTCCCTTTTAGGTCTGTTCTGATTGTTTGAGTGATTGATTGATTGATTGTTGATTGAAATGGTTTAGGGTCTCCTGCTTGAATGGGCGGGGTGGACTAGAACACCTCCAAGGTCCCTTCTACCTGTGTTCTGATTGATTGAGTGGTTCTTTTATTGATTGATTGATTAGTTCTTTGATTGATTGATTGATTGATTGATTGATTGATTGAGTAAAATGGTTTAGGGTCTCCTGCTTGATGTGGGGTGGACTAGAAGACCTCCAAGCTCCCTTTTAGTTCTGTTCTGATTGATTGAGTGGTTCTTTGATTGATTGATTGATTGATTGAGTGAGTGAGTGAGTGAGTGAGTGAGTGGTTCTTTTATTGATTGATTGACTGAGTGGTTCTTTGATTGATTGATTGATTCATTGATTGATTCATTGATTGATTGAAATGGTTTAGGGTCTCCAACCCCCCATTGAGCAGGGGTGGGTTGGAGTAGATGACCTCCAAGGTCCCTTCCAGCTCTGTTCTGCTTGGAATGAAAGGCTTGCTTGAGATGCCCTCATCTGCGTGACGTCATGGTGTGGCTTTGAATAGGGATTTTTTCTGTAACATTCAAGTAAGCTATGAAGCCCTCGGATCTTCCTGAAGATCTTCAGATCTTCTTGTAGGCCTTCTTCTCTTTGATCCCTTCCCGTAGAGCAGGGCTTGTCAATCTCAACAAACTTCAAGATCCATGGACTGCAACTGCCAGGATTCCTCAGCCAGCGTGTCCATTGGCTGACATCAATTGTCTAAGCCCAATTAGCCTGGCTCTCTCCTCCCTTTAGGAATCCAAGGTTCTACACCCAACTGGGAAGACCATAGCAGGACCTAGCAACCCACAGCTTGGGCGGTTGCTCATTCTTGGAAAAAGGCCACTGTATAAAGATCCTTTCCATCCATAACATGGAACCCACCAGACCGGGGGCGGGGGGAGGGAATGCTGCATGTCCCATCCCTGAGGGAGATATATCTGGTGGGACCCAGAAGAAGGACCTTCTCCATGGTGGCCCCCTCTCTCTGGAACATCATTCCCCCAGAGATTAGAACAGCCCCCACTCTAACATTCTTCCAGAAGGCACTGAAGATTTGTTTTGCCAGTGGACCTGGGGAACCCAGAGTGGGATGGAGCCCATTCAATGGCTCTTGTGACCTGCTGTTGCTGGGGTGGGGGCAGGGGTGAAATCCAGCAGGTTCTGATAAGTTCTGGAGAACCGGTAGCGGAAATTTTGAGTAGTTCGGAGAATCGGCAAATGCCACCTCCGGCTGGCCCCAGAGTGGGGTGGGAATGGAGATTTTGCAGTATCCTTCCCCTGGAGTGGAGGGGGAATGGGGATTTTGCAGTATCCTTCCCCCTGGATTGGGGTGGGAATGGGGATTTTGCAGTATCCTTTCCCCTGGATTGGGGTGGGAATGGGGATTTTGCAGTATCCTTCCCCCTGGAATGGGGTGGGAATGGGGATTTTACAATATCCTTCCCCCAGGAGTGGGGTGGGAATGGGGATTTTGCAGTATCCTTTCCCCTGGATTGGGGTGGGAATGGGGATTTTGCAGTATCCTTCCCCCTGGAATGGGGTGGGAATGGGGATTTTGCAATATCCTTCCCCGGGAGTGGGATGGGAATGGAGATTTTGCATTATCCTTCCCCTGCCACTCCCACGAAGCCACACCACGCCCACCAAGCCACACCCACAGAACCGGTAATTTAAAAAAAAATTGGATTTCACCACTGGGCAGGTGTGTGTGGGGGGGGGAGGGGGATTTTATTATATTAATTTATTATATGGACTCATCTTTTATTAGTTTTATTGTTTTTATATGAGGCTTTATATTCTGTAAGCCGCCTTGGATCGCCATGTGCGTATAGGTGGCAATATAAATCCCATCAATCGATCAATGGAAAAAAGCACCTTTGGGTAGATTGGGCAAAGGCAAAATGGCTGGTTAGAAAATCCTCCAGTGAGCTTTCATGGCCGAGGGTAAACTTGAACTCGAGTCTGATCCAGCCCTGAAGGAATTTCTCTACAGTGACGAGCATAATCCCAGCTTCCCTTACCTAATGATGGAACAGCCATAGACATGTGCTCGCTTAAATTTGAGCGGCTTCAGTTCTTCACTGGAGGAATGTTATCTAGGTGACCACTAGATGGCAGCAGAACATTGGGGAGGGATGGGTCTTTCCTTTTGCTACCATCTAGTGGTCAACTGAGGCTTTGCAGCTCAGATACAGTGTGTGCCAGGGTTCCGACAGATGCCCTAATTAAACCATGAGCCTCGAATCAAGCTTCAAAAGAAATCCAGTTATTAATTAGGAGCAACATGTCGGCATGTACCCAAGTGAAGCCAGCTCTGCCCCATGTAATTTACGGCCCAATTATGACCCTGTTTCCCCCCTCCTCCCAGAGTGTGTCATAAATCACATTCTCCAACGGAGCACTTTCGCGGGCTGTAGAGATCACGTCCCTCTGGCTGTTGCCGGTAACCTGGGATACAGCCTTGAGAAAGGTATGTGTGGAATGTGCTTCTGGTTGTGGCTGCCGTGCTGCTCCGTCACTGTCCCCCCCCCCCGCCGCCTATGGCAACTCGAGAGCAGGCCAGGGATGCTTTGCGAGTTGACATTCGGCTCCCCTCACTTCCTGACAGTGTGCCTAATTTTGCCTTCGTTGGGCTCTCTACACTTGGAGCTCCAGATGTAGTCTCTACATCTTCAGACTTGCCTACAAGAGAGAAGGAAGATTTGGGGAGAAATGTCGGCTGTGGGAAACAGTCGTTATGTAGGTCCAGCCTGGAGATTGAAACATTCTTCAGGCATTCTATTCTTCTTCTCATCCTTCCTATTACCTATCTCCTTCTACTTATGACTATAACCTTGTTGCTTGTATCTTTACGATTTATATTGTTTTATTCAGTTTCCTAGTATGATTTTGATTGCTTATTTACTATCCTATGACTATCACTAAGTGCTGTATCTTATCATTCATGGTGAATGCATTTTTTTATGTACACTGAGAGCGTATGCACTAAAGACAAATTCCTTGTGTGTCCACTTGGGCAATAAAGAATTCTATTCTATACTATTCCATGAAGCTGACTTCCATGGTCAAGCAGGCCTTCTCCTTCTCCTCCTCCTTGTTCATCTTCATCTTCATCTTCTTGTTCTCCTCCTCCTCCTTGCTCTTGTTCTCCTCCTCTTCCTCCTTTTTGTTCATCTTCTCCTCTTCCTTCTTTTCCTCCTCCTCCTTCTCCTCCTTTTTCTCCTCCTCCTCCTCCTCCTCCTTGTTCATCTTCATCTTCTTGTTCTCCTCCTCCTTGTTCTTGTTCTTCTCCTCCTCCTTCTTGTTCATCTTCTTCCCCTCTTCCTTTTCGTCTTCATCCTCCTCCTCCTCCTTGTTCTTGCTCTCCTTCTCCTTCTTGTTCATCTTCTTCTCCTCCTCTTCCTTCTCCTCCTCCTCCTTCTTCTCCTTCTCCTCCTTTTCCTTCTTGTTCATCTTCTCTTGTTCTCCTCCTCCTTCTTGCTCATCTTCTTCTCCTCTTCCTTCTTTTCCTCCTCCTCCTCCTTCTCCTCCTCCTCCTCCTTCTTGTTCATCTTCATCTTCTTGTTCTCCTCCTCCTCCTCCTTGTTCTTGTTCTCCTCCTTCTTGTCCATCTTGCTCTCCTCCTCTTCTTCCTCCTCCTCCTTCTCATTCATCTTCATCTTCTTGTTCTCCTCCTCCTCCTCCTTGTTCTTGTTCTCCTCCTCTCCTTCTTGTTCATCTTCTTCTTCTCCTCTTCCTTCTTTTCCTCCTTCTTGTTCATCTTCTTCTTCTCCTCTTCCTTCTTTTCCTCCTTCTTGTTCTTGTTCTTCCTTCTTCTTCTCCTTCTCCTCCTTCTCCTTTTCCTCCTCCTCCTCCTTCTTCCCTGTCCTTCTCCTCCTCCTCCTTCAGTACTTCCCCTCCTCCTTCTTCCCCTGCCTTCTTCTGATTTTTGCTTTTCCTCTCCTCTTCTGCAACCCAATCATTTGGAAGAGGGCATGAAGCTGTTTTTTCCCATGAGCTGAGAAAAAACAGAAAGAAAAGCTCTTCAGAAGGACATCCCTTCACCCAGTGACTTGCTTCCACGACATAGAGAGAACCTCAGTTCAGCACAACGACAGAAAACAGACTAATAATAATAATAATAATAATAATAATAATAATAATAATAATAATGAAAAATCCCCAAACATAATTCTGCACATCGATTTTGGTATCTTTAATACCACCGTAAATGTCTTTTGAGCCTTGAAGGACTTAATTGCCATGCGAGATGATCAAAACATTTCCTTCTTTTTAGACGGAATCGTCAGAAATCTGAAAAGCCCCATTCTCTTTTCCCTCCTTTCTTCTTTTTTCTTCTCCCCCTTCCCCACCGCTCACGGATGGGTGTTAGAGGCTCACTTAGTTTTTTGATATGCAAGCCTAAATTTGGCACCAGGAAATTGGAAATTGCATCTTTAAGCAGGCTACAATCAAAAATGAATTACAATAAATCCTATATAATTGCATAGGTCATTCTCTTTAATGAGATTTTATTAACCTGACTGTCAGGCTTTTGAGTCAGGCAGATATTTT